AGAAGCGAATGAGTGGGAAGTGCTATAATTACGCATAGGGCGTTAAGGGAATTGAGCAAATCTGTTATGGGTCTTGATTGACTGAAGTGGCTGGTCTATATATTACGTATCCTCAGCTACCACCCACCTCGATAGACGAAAACCTGATGCAGAATTGGTGAGAAAAAGCTAGAGATGACCAAACTAAGACTTGGTATTCGTTGATTGAGTCACTGTTAGTCTGTACCATGTTGGTGTTGGTAGATATAGACCACTTGGTTGGAGTACACGTTAAAATTATTTGTCAGAGACAATAGGTAACACGGATCAGAGGCCGCTACTACGTTTCGAATACATTCAAGTTTTAGTTTCAGCACTCTATTATACATATATTTTTATTTCGTCCTTTCATAAAATAACCTTTATGGTTATTCATTCACATCATCATTGGGACAACAACTATTTCGACTATTTGCTATTCATCTTGTTAGCGTCATTTTGTCTCGCTACTGTGGTTTGACATCTGGTGGGAAGCACAAGATACATTGGACAGTTAGGAGGCGGCTTGACGATGCAGAGTTCGCAGATGATCTAGATGTCGAATAACATCTGGAACTCTAAACACCAAAGTCAGAATTTTCAATACAAATGTAAAGACAGTTCTACTATATGGATATGTAGTAGATAAATTTATTTCATTCGGTCATACTTCTCGAATCAGATCTTCGATTTCTAATCTTTTCCATTATCGCTAATACTGCTAAAACCTTTACTACGATTGGATTTGTATTGACAACTCCATCTCTTTGTGCTGCTGTTGTATAGCAACTTGAACGTACGTACGTACGTATGTATGTAGGAAGTTCTGCATTGCGGTCGATTGACTAGCTGAAGGTTAGATATGACATTTATAGAGTCGACTATTTCTTAACTTTTACTTTCGTAATGAGAAAGCAGAGTCGCTGCTGATAGGACGCATAAGAACTTATGTTTCAACCAATATAGCTCGACGGAATCATCACGACTGGCCAGCACGACCACTACATTAAGGTAGCAGTGCTACAGTTGGAGTCGACATCATTGCTCCACATGAAACGCAAGTACTCCGTTATTGCCTTCTGTATTAAGAGATGTAAATCGAAGTACACTAGTATTCATGAGCTTAACATAACTAAATGAATAGAGAAACGTAGAATCTAATTATATAAACAAAACTGTTCATTTATATGTAATACTCCTTTAGCAGTGTCATGGTTACTATGTTTTTAACACCGCCTTACGATATATGGAAGTTTACTTATAACAAAATCGACAGTGAGCTGGATAAGAGCGTCACAATGATGACTTACCCGAGAACTAGGGAACGCTGCGTAGTTTCAAAACAATTAGTTGCAAACAGTAAGAAAAATGAGTGTGCGGTAACAGCTTTGGCTTGAATAATTAGTCCCTACATTTGAAAGTATCCTGTGTAGTAATGACGAGTTAGGTATTCATACTAGGAGTCAAGTTAGGGTTTCGTCAAGGTTATCACATCACGGGATCTCCGTAATCGAGTAAGACTTAGAGATAATGCTTATAGACTGATGTCACGGTTTTTATCACGAATAAAAATCAATAATGCTCCAAAGAATCAGAGTACGTTTAGTGTAAGTCAAAAATTTAACGTAAATGCAGTGCAGAAGTCCTACATTCAGCTACAGTTGAAGATTCAAAGCGACTTTAAAGGGAAAAATGTAGCACTATTTACTCACGCCAGGGGAAAATAAGACTTCTTGGTGCGTGTTTACCTTTACCTTACCTTTCTTCAGTGATATAATGTCCTCTTCATTAACCAGTTGTTAGCATTTATTTCCCCTTTTCGTAACTCGGGTCGCTAAAATTATACATAAACATGAAATTTGAGTCGAGTAACACTGGAGTAGGAGAAAATGAATTTCAAAATGCCTTAGTACTGTGTATGATAAACAGATCAATACTGTAACTTAAGCCTTTGATAAGTTTGAGTTTATTCTGATGGTACCGATTGTGCTAGGGGAATAAGGAGTAGAAAGTGAGGTTATTTGTAAATGAGAAGGTTGAAAAAATTGAGCCAGCAATTAAGCAAACACATAGAAAGCACTCACCTTGAATTATTAAAGCGATCGACAGCAACCAGAAATAACAAGCATGCTATTAAGGCTGACTGGAGATCCAAGGTCGAAGTTGGTTGCGCAAATTTAGAATGCTCTCGATATTCAATACCTTTTTCACGAGCGTCCGTCAGTTCGGTGGATGCTACTTGGATCCCCGAGTTCTACCTAGACTTATGGTTTACCTTGCTAGCAGATATCAATGCTGTTTCAACAGCTTTTTGGATATCATTCAATGCTACCTCCGAATGGGAATCACTTAAATGGCCGCCTAACTGTCTTTATAGTTGTTCCTGAAGTATATTCATATCTCTGCTACCATAGGTAAAGCCCTAAGAGCTTTCCCTGCAGTGTCTTTCCTAAATCCGTTAAGTCGCAAACGATCACGCGCTCGCACTAGTGCATGGTCTGAATCTAGATATGTGCCCCAGTACGAGCGACACTCCTCCATCGGTGAATGGTGGCAATGTGACCTAGATGGGTCCAACGTTGAGACGACTTTGCGGGTCGCTAGGTCAAAAGATGTTTTTCCTTATGACTAATGTTAGTGTTTGCTAGAAATAGACGGTTATCTAAGCACAGTAGCAACAGACGGTCGCTATTATCTGTTCTCTTAACCGCGACACCATAAGATCCACCCAGGTGTCTTTCTTTCTCACTGAGTCTACCTACTTGAGCATGAAAGTAGTCATCTATTTTAACCACATCAGAGTACCTAGCTTTTTGGAGGAGGTCCAAAAGCTTTCTGTAAAACTCATCATTCACATCGTCTGAACTGCAGTCAGTGGGAGCGTAGGTAAATACGACGATCAGGCAACGTCGAGTATCCCTATCTTTCAGAGTCTTTACTCTCCCGTTTAGTCGGTCAGCGCACAGTCAGTCAGTCAGATGCAACGTAGAACTTTGTTCATAAGTACATCAGTTCAGGTTGCCATACCACATCAGCACAGAGAAGTAATCGTCAATGCAAATCCAATAGTAGAAGAGGTAGTAAGGGAATTAGAAGTAATCGGAGAGGTTAATATTAGCAGATACTATTCAAGAAGTATGATTCAGTGAGTAAAGTTTAGAGAGTCGAAACTAGGGGTGTTGAAGAATCCAGAAGATTAGGGTTTGAGAGAACACAGAGAATAAATGCACCGGCGCCATTGCGAACGATTTTGAGCCATGTCATTCAAGGTCTCTAACCATCGATTATTATCATCTCGCGGACCCAACCAGGTAGTCAACAATTACCGACGTGGCTCAGTCACCTAGTCAATGACTTCATGGATTTATGCCATGTTTTGGCTTGGCACCCCCTAACTTTCTTCCAACCTATTCCTACACTACAAAACAAAGTTCATCGAGGCAGTCGGTGGTTCGGCATACGCAGCACATGTCCCAACCACCTCAACTGATGAAGTTTCACCACTTCGTCTACTGATCTGCCATCCTTACCTAGTACTCGTTTCCTAACGACAGCATTGCTCACTCGGTTGTCCCACGGTATACAAGCAATGCTTCGAAGACACCTATGATCGAAAACCAGTAACCTACGAATATCTTCTACTCTCACTGGCCATGTTTCACAGCCATATAGGAGAACGGAGCGAACTGCTGCACAGTACACTCGTCCTTTAATTAGAGAACGGATATCTCGCCTGCGCCATAAGTGACGCAGGTTGGCAAAAGCCAATCGAGCCTTCTGTACCCGAGCTGAGATTACGTCAGTCAACAGGCCATCAGCACTGATGAGACTCCTAAGATAAATGAAGCGGTCCACACGCTCGACCACTTCACTCCTTATCACTAGTTCAGGTGCCGATGAAACCCAGTCTTGAAGCAACATTTTGCATTTCGAGGGGGAAAACCGCATCCCGAACATACTCGCATTGTTGCTTAGGGTAGTCAGATGACTCTGCATTTCGTCAGCATCTTCACCAAGTAGGACAATGTCATCGGCATATTCTAAGTCAATAAGCGAGTCACCTGGTAGAAGGTCAACCCCTGAAAAATCTGACGAGCTTAATGTTAACTCTAAGAGGATGTCTACGACAAAGTTGAACAAGAATGGAGAGAGTGGACATCCCTGACGGACACCACTTGATGTAGAGAATTCAAATGACAGTTCGCCATATGCTCTCACCCGACCAGTGGTGTTCGAGTAGAGTGCTTGTATAAGGTTAATGTACTTCTTTGGTACACCTTTCAATGACAGACACTGCCACAGAACCTCACGATCCACTGAGTCAAATGCCGCTTTTAGGTCCAGGAAAACAACTATTGTAGGACGCCTAAATGTGTGTCTATGTTCCAGGACCTGTCGTAGTGTGAAAATGTGGTCTATACAACCACGTCCTGGTCGAAAACCAAACTGGTTTTCTCTAGTCTGCTCTTCACGAGCTTTCTTTAAGCGTCGAAGTATTATTGAGGCCAATATTTTAGATACTATATTAGTTAGACTTATTCCCCTGTGATTGTCACAAGAAGACTTTTGTCCTTTCTTTTAGATTGGGACAATCAGTGATTGAGACCAGTCGTATGGGATTGCGTCCAGTTCACAGATTCTACCTAAGATTTCAGTCAACCTAGCCGATAAAACTGGACCTTAAATATCTCAGTGGTTAGTCTATCAGGACCTGCAGCTCGTCCTCGTTTCAGATTTCCTAACGCTTTCTCAACGTCATTAAGACTAGGGGGACTTAAGTCGATTTGCCATTCAGGATGACTGGAGATCGTGGGTAACCTAAGAGTGGCTCGTGGCCAGTTGAACTGATCCCTAAAGTGTTCTGCCCATCGATCCAGTCTCCTGTATTGAGAATAAATAATAGTCCCGTCATTTTCTGAAATAGTCTCACTTACACAAGGATTCCTAATACCAGTTTCTTTAATAAGGCGGAAAAGTTGTCTGCTGTTGCCGATCGCCGCTGCCTTTTATATCGCTTTTGCTTTCGCCACCCACCACTGTTCGCCATCGTTACGCAGACTTTTTATGAGTCTGCGCCTAAACTGACTACGCTCTTCATCATGCTCAGAGCCAGGTGGGATGCGTTTTCGAGCATCCATCAGTTCGGTGGATGCGACTGAAATCCACGGCTTCGTCCTAACCACATGTTTTACCTTCCTAGCAGATATCACTGCTGTTTCCACAGCCTTTTTGATATCGCACCAACCTGCTTCCGGATGGGAATCGCTTAAATGGTCGCCTAACTGTCTTTCTAGTTGTTCCTGAAATATATTCTTCGCCTTATTATCATTAGGTAAAACCCTAAGAGGCTTCCTTACGTTGTGTTTCTTACGTCCAGTAAGCCTCAGACAAATACGAGCTCGCACTTGGTCATGATCTGAATCTAAAAATGTGCCCCGAAACGAGAGAAAGTCCTCTATCGAACCCCTCCATCGGTGGCTGATGACGATGTGATCTGGTGGCGTCCAACGTTGAGAAGACTTTGGAGGTCGCCAGGTCAACAGATGTTTTTCCTTATGGCTAAAGTTAGTGTTTGTTAAGAATATGCGGTTGTCTGAGCATACTTGCAACAGACGGTCACCATTGTCTGTTCTCTGAGCCGCGACACCATAACATCCACCAAGGTGTCTTTCATTTTCCCTTAGTCTACCTAATTGAGCATTAAAGTTACCAGCCGTTATTATGATATCAGAGCGCCTAGCTTTTTCGAAGTCCGAAAGCTTTCTGTAAAACTCATCTTCCACCTCGTCTGAACTTCAGTCAGTGGGGGGCATAGGCAGATACGATGAAGAGGCAACGACGAGTGTCCCTATCCTTCCGAGTCCTTACTGTCCCATTTAGCCGGACAGCGCACTAGCGACTATCTACTGGGATCCAGTCAAGGAGAGATTGTTCAGCTCTAAGACTCAATGCTATGCCTACGCCAGCAAGACCCCTGGAAGCAGTATCAGGGCTACTGGTTACACGAAGAGTCAATCTAGCTGCTTCTTTATTTTGACAAGGTGAAATCAGATTAATAATTTTACTAGGATCCTGTATGCGCGTTTCCGAGACGCAGCATACATCGATGACACGAGTTTCTAAAGTCCTAGCTAATGATGCCTGTTCCCCTATTTGACACAATGTCCGTACATTAAAAGCTCCAACATGTAGTTAAGAACGGGGTTTCAAGAGACCAGGAACGACGTTTCGTGATCTCGCTTCGTCTGCATTAACGGTGCAGTGAGAAAAGGAAGTGTGAGAAGAGTTAGTCGTAGAGATAAGAGAGACATTAGGGTGTGTAGGAAGGATTTGATTTCGACCAATTTGGTCTCTCGTGCTGTTATGGGTATGAGGGCGGTTGTCACTTCCCGGCTGCCCACACCGTGGAAGGTTGTTTCTTGAGGAACCTGAAAAGGAAGATGGATTAGTGTTGGTGCGTGACCGCAAAGCCCAACGGACAACTGTTTAGGCCGGTCACGCACGGCCTTTTGACGAAAGGTATTTTGAGGATTAGCTCCGTTCTTAAAGGCCCTTAGTGGGCACCTTTACCCAGGGAGACGGAAATCCGTGAGTTAGGGGAGGTGTGACATTTTTAGGGCCGACCTTTTCTAACCCTTCCTTCCTTGTGAGAAGGCAGCATCGCTGCAGATGCTGGTTGTCCGAGGGAAACACCTTACTGCTGTCACACCCCTCTGCAGTCAGCAGTACGACTTCGCCCTCAGACCTTGGGTAGCTGCCAACAGTCTCATCGTTCTCCAATCGACCAGCCTGGCATGGTAGGACCTGCAGGAACATATGTTCCAGCCAGTATAGCTCGGTTGGGTCATCACGATAGGCAAGCCCGACCACCACGTCAAGGTAGCAGCTTCGGTCGGTCAGCGCACAAGCGACTATCTACAGGGATCAAGTCTAGGATAGCTAGTTCTGCCCTAGGACTCAATGCTATACCTACACCAGTGAGACCCCGGAAAGCAGCATAAGGGCTACTGGGTACACGAAGTGTAAATCGAGCTGTTCCCTTATTTTGACAAGATGAAATCAAATTAAGTATTTTACTAGGATCCTGTACACGCGTTTCGGAAACGCAGCATACATCGACGGCGTGAGACTCTAAAGTCGTAGTAAATGAAGCCTGTTGCCCTAATTGACACAATATCCGTACATTAAAAGCTCCAACATGTAGTTTAGAGCAGAGTTTTAGGAGATCAAGAATAACGTTTCGTGGAATCGCACCGTTTGCATTAGCGGTACGGGGTGATAAATGGAAGTGAGAAGAGTTAGTTGTGAAGATAAGAGGGGTGTAGGAATGATTTGCGTTTGACCAATTACGTTACGTTACGTGCTGTTACCTTACTGCTGTCATAACACTCTAAAATCAGCAGTAGGACTTCTCCCTCTGACCTTGTTTAGCTGCTTTTAGTCTCATCGTTCTCTAATCGACCTGCCTGGCATGGTAGAACCTACAGGAATATATGTTCTAGCCAATATAGCTCGGTTGGATCATCACGACAGGCAAGCCCACCGACCACTTTAATGTAACAGCTACAGTTGGGACGAGATACTAATCTGAAGAAAATACTTATTCACTCAACTTGTATTGTTATATTCGTTATTGACAATCGAGAACTTTTTTCCCAAAAGTAAAGGATGTGTAAAATAACGTGAATAAATATATTTACAACTGATATTAAAGCTTCACGCCGCTTTAGATGCAAGCAGTTAATGTTAGAGAAAATATAAGCACCACAGTAATATATTACTTAGGAATGTCAAGTATGTAACTATAGTTGATGCATCATAAGAGATGAGTTATGGACGAAAGACGCTAGAATCAACTTGTGACTGGTACCAAGTTTAACATTTCTTAGATATTTTACATTAGGAAATATTATCAGAAGTTAAAGTCCTTAATATACATGTTTGTCAAGAAGAGCATGGAAAGTTAGTCTACCAATGAAATAATTATACTCGTAGAACGGAATCGTAATGATGGATCTTATGGAGTGATATTGATTAAGCTCAACGACAGCAGAACTGGCTATTTAGTGTCTCATTGTCTAATGATATTTAAGATCCCACAAAGGTTCCAAGCAGGTAAAAAAAAGTCCATAATAAGAAAAAACAAACGGATAACAGATTCATCGCCGCTGTCCTGAACTATCAGATATTTCGATAGTGTAAAGCAATAGCGACAAGAACAAACACCTAGACAGTTCTTCGAAAGTATTATCTCTAATGAAATAAAAACTTAAGAAAAGCATTGGACGTAGGGAGGAGACTAGCTTCAGGGGAACTGCTGTTATACTCTGGTCATGAAGAGGAAAATGCTTCACATACACAAGGAGTTGCACTGATGCTGTCCACACAAGCACAAAAGGCACTAATAGGATTGGAATCTCATGGACCCAGGATCATTAAAGCATCGCTCAAAAGAAAGAAAGCGGACATTACAATGAACGTCATCCAATGTTATGCATCTACCAACGACTACAATGACGACGATAAAGGTCAATTCAACGAAAGGCTGAAGTCAATCGTCGACAGATGCTCACCAAAGGATTTGACGATGCTAATAGGAGACCTAAATGCCAAGGTTGGTATGGACAACACCGGATATGAAGACATCATGGGACGAAATGGACTGGGAGAAAGAAACGAAAATGGTGAGAGATTTGCAAACCTATGTGCCTTCAACAAACTGGTCATCGGTGGCACAATATTCCCGCACAAACGCATTCACAAAGCCACATGGATTTCACCGGACCACACTACTCAAAACCAAATTGACCATATCTGTATCAACAAAAAGTTCAGAAGGACCATGGAAGATGTGAAAATCAAGAGAGGAGCTGATATAGCTTCAGATCACAATTTGCTGATCGCCAAAATGAAACTGAAGCTAAAGAAGCACTGGACAACGGGGCAGACAACATCACAGAAGTTTAATACGGCCTTTCTTCGGGATACCGTAAAACTCAACGAATTCAAGATAGCCCTCACCAATAGGTTCCAGGCCTTTCAGGATCTACTCAATGGAGAGCAAACAACTATAGAGAATAATTGGAAAGGGATCAAGGAGGCAATTACTTCAACATGGCACGAAGGTCTGGGTCACAAGAAGTATCATCACAAGGAATGGATCTCTGTTGATACTCTTGCAAAAATTGAAGAAAGGAGGAACAAGAAGGCAGCAATCAATGTCAGCCGAACAAGAGCGGAGAAAGTTACCGCACAAGCTGCATACACAAAAGCAAACAGGGAAGTGAAGAAGAGCATCAGAGCTGACAAACGAAAATATGTGGAAGATCTAGCAATGACGGCGGAAAAGGCTGCAAGAGAAGGAAACATGAGACAATTGTACGAAACAACAAAGAAGCTCGCCGGAAACTATCGTAAACCAGAACGACCAGTGAAAAGTAAGGAAGGCAAAGTAATCAGCAACACTGAAGAACAGCGAAATAGGTGGGTAGAGCACTTTCAAGAACTCTTGAATCGACCAGCTCCACTGAACACACCCAACATCGACGCAGCATCCACGGACCTCCCAATTAATATTGGCGCACCTACGATTGAGGAGATCAGTGTGGCCATCAGACAAATCAAGAACGGCAAATCAGCAGGACCAGACAACATTCCAGCAGAGGCAATGAAAGCAGATGTAGAAGCAACTGTGAAAATATTTCACATACTCTTCAAGAAGATTTGGGATGAGGAACAAGTACCATCAGATTGGAAAGAAGGATACCTGATCAAAATACCAAAGAAAGGCGATCTCAGCAAGTGTGAGAGCCATCACTGTTCTTTCAATACCAGGCAAACTCTTCAACAGGGTATTGTTAAACAGAATGAAGAACTTGTAGACGCGCAACTTCGAGATCAACAGGCTGGATTTCGTAAGGATCGATCGTGTACTGACCAAATTGCAACATTACGGATCGTTGTGTAGCAATCAACTGAATGGAACTCACCACTCTACATCAACTTCATTGACTAAGAGAAGGCATTCTACAGCGTGGATAGGAAAACACTGTGGAGGCTTCTTCGACACTGCGGTGTGCCTGAGAAAATAGTTAACATCGTACGGAATTCTTATGATGGATTCAACTGCAAAATCGTACACGGAGGTCAGCTGACAATCTTGTTTGAGGTGAAGACCGGTGTCAAGCAAGGTTGCTTACTTTCACCCTTTCTCTTTCTCCTGATGATCGACTGGATTATGAAGACGTCAACATCTGGAGGGAAGTACGGTATCCAATGGACAGCTGGGACGCAGCTGGACGATCTGGACTTCGCAGATGGCCTGGCTCTTCTATCGCACACGCAACAACAAATGCAAGAGAAGACAACCAGTGTAGCAGCAGCCTCTGCAGCAGTAGGTCTCAAAATACATGAAGGAAAAAGCAAAATTCTCCGATGCAACACAACATGCACCGACCAAATCACTCTTGATGGAGATGCCTTGGAGGACGTTACCACCTTTACATATCTGGGCGCAGCATCATCGACAACCAAGGTGGATCCGATGCAGATGTGAGGGCACGGGTTGGCAAAGCGAGGGCTGCATTTCTACAGTTGAAAAATATATGGAACTCCAAACAAATATCAAGCAACACCAAAATAAAGGCATCATCCAGAAGATACAAGTATTTATTAACAGTTGTCTTCAGAAAAAATACTTCGGATTCGTTGGCCAGACACTATCAGCAACAACTTACTTTGGAAGAGAACAAACCAGATTCTAGTGGAGGAGGAAATCAGAAAGGAGCAGTGGAAGTGGATAGGACACACACTGCGAAAAGCACTGAACTGCGTCACGAGACAAGCCCTCACATGGAACCCTCAAGGCAAAAGGAAAAGAGGGAGACCAAGGAACACATTACGCCGAGAAATAGAGAAAGATATGAGAGGAATGAACAAAAATTGGACAGAACTGGAAAGGGAAGCCCAGGACAGAGTTGGTCGGAGAAAACTGGTCGGCGGCCTATGCTTCATTGGGGGTAACAGGCGTAAGTAAGTAATTCAGTAAATTAATCGTAATTAGTATAAAATTTCCTATTCCATAGAACAGTTATCTTTGCATGTTTACCGCTAGCAACAATTTGTATTTTAACAACAATAAAATAGTCAATAGAATAAAAATTGTGAGACACTTTCTATGTTACAGCCTAGAAAAGGTTTTAATGTTTACATGACTAATAGTTTACCATAACAATAAGATAACTTCAGAATCCAGTATATTCCTATCAGGAAATCAAGCCAGAAAATACTAAATTCTCAATAACCATAATGATTTTTAACTAACAGTAATAACAATCATAATCTACTGGTGACTCACACAACCGAATGAATATATTTAATTCAATCTATGGGGAAATAATTACAAGTCAGATTATGTTGAAATAATTAATTTACAAAATGAAATACTAGTAATTTATATATATATCTAAATTAATGTACAAATTAATAGGATGATTAATGTCTATAATAATGTATCAAGAATTCAATTTGCAATTCACCGAATCACAATATAGTTTAACATTGATTATAACAACTGGAATACTGCTGATTGTTATTAGACGTCTTTTCACAACGGTATAGTTTACTGAAGTTAAACCGCCGATCGGATTACGAATTAGGTTTACCTGAAAAATAAAATATGCATATATAAAATCAAACATAATGTATATTTACTAACCCAATGGTACAAAAGTGAATCCAATTCAATCATAGCAAATTATGAAGTATCGATAGTTTTGAGAAAGTGAATTAGTTAAGAGTATTGATCAGTATTTTTATATTCAAAGTCTCATTGGCCTTGATGGCCTCGTGTGTGACGAAATCTTGACAGGGATACAGAGAACCTGATTGACTTTAGCCAACCTGAGTCACTTATGGTGTAAGCGAGATATCCGTCTGCTAGCCAAACGAAGAGTTTACTACACAGCAGTTCACTCCACTCTACATTATGGGTGCGAAATATGGCCATTAATAATGGAGGATATTCGAAGGTTACTGGTTTTCAATCATAGGTGCCTTAAGAATCCCAGCACTTAACTTTCAACTGTTATCATGAATAACATGATGCCTAATAGATTTAGATTGTGTTTATCTAGATGTTGAAATTGTGTGTTACTATGTTAGGTTCGTCACCAAGTATGCTTGAAACTATTACGGGTTCACCTTAGTCGATAAACGCGAACAAGACAATGAACCAGCGTCCAGGTAGGCTACCTTGATCCAAAAACTGCAAAAGAGAAGTCTTGATAAGCACCCAGCAAGCAAAATACAATCAAGCACACAACTCTCGTTTATTTATACATCATAGAAACGTCCTTGGGACAGTCACAAAAATAGCACACTAAAATAAACAGCAACCAATCACAGACAAAGACTTTCCCGGAGTGAAATGAAATCTCAAGGTCAACTGATTAGCCCATGCTCGGAAACATAGAATCCAAAATTAGGGCATTTATCAAGCGAGTCCTGGGGATCTAACGTCCCCAACAACTATGGTTTTGGTCAGTTTTCGGTTTCATAGTTTTAATATGGCATCTTTAAAAATAGATTTCTGGTCAATTCTATCATAATTACTATCAGAAGGACAAATTTGTACTAGTTACTTGTAATTTACGCATAAACTTTGGTTCCTGAAACGGATTTTTGGCTTCTTGTAATTTAATATCATAATCCACGAGTGTATCAGTTATCCAGAATTCATGAACATACAACAGCAAAATTTAGATGTAACTCATACAAAGTCAGGTATCCAGTAAATGAATGTTGAAAGTAAAACCTTTGAAATAGTATTACCCTTCTTCGTGTAAATATTCAAAGTCTGCCTAGGTTTAAATTTATTATTGTGGTGATGGTTTATTGTCTGACGCTTAGGATTTTCTACTGTTATTTTCACAACAGCTCCTCATCACCATTCTTAATCTGACAAGGCCGTACGTACCAAGTTCTACGTTGCAACGGGCTAACTGACTGACATATTGGAAATATTTTATTTTACTCCAAGATTTTATAGGAACTTTACCAATCAATTACAATCATGATCAAAATTAAGTACATGATAGATTTTCCAATTAATAAGTCCTATTGGTTAACCTAAGTTCCACTCAGTTCCAGTAAACAATTTGATGTATATTAGGTCGAAAATGTCGATAATCTTAATCGAGATTCATTGTAATCTTGGCAAATAATATTTAAACGATAAAAAACCGAAATGCATAATTGATGTTTAAATATTATAAATGTAAACCATTAAGGTGAATAGATGTCTGAAATATATTTCAAGTGAAAGATTTGGCTCTTTACAAAACACATTTACCATCAATGAATATTGTTAAGTCTGCTATTAGATACGATTAATACACAATACAACCTCTGACAAGTGAACTAGTAGAAAGTCCTCCCCGCAGTCAAAAGCCACAAGAAAACAGAAGAAACCTTTATTACACTATTTTTCGAAATGCACAAAGAAACCATGTGCATTAATTCTTTACGCAAATAACAGCACTAAACCGTTATCCACTAATCGCATACCACATCGACATCCTGGAAATTCTATCGGGAGCCGCAGAAAACAAGTGGAAAAAACTGCACACCTAAATTTGACGTTTCAAGATAAACTTTAACAGGCTAGAATTAATTGACTAAGATTTTTGAATGGCTGATAAATTATATTCGAACTGGAAAATGCTACCGAATGAGTGCCGTTCAGAATTTATAATTTATAAGTGTACAACAATAATAACTAATCCCAGTAATGTAATGATGGTACAAATAATTATTATACTTTAGACAAGCATGTATATATCAAGTTGTGATTACATGGTTTATCGAAGAACTAAACCTTCAAATCAGTGGACTACAATTTCACAATCTGGTGTGAAGACAGAAACCAGCGATAGTGACAAACAACAGAAGCCCATTTCGAATACATCAATGCATCCGATTCAAAGCCCGCTGAATATTTATTTCTTTATTGTTGTTTCTACCTTATTTTAAAAATCTTAAACTTTCGGTCAATGAATGATTCATTGTCATCATACTGTTTCATTACACGATTATTGTTTACTTAGACATAATCCCTATACACTACTTTTGTACCCTAAAACAGTTACTTTGGGCATAACTGTATTTTTCTAAATCCTTGTGTGTTATGGTCCGGCAAACCATATATTTATTTATGTCTTTTCTGGTAAGTCAGAATCAGGAGTAAATGGAGTATTGTTCCAGTTGATTAGTTTTTTCTATCTTGCTAACCTATTTGGTGATAGAATAGTTTCCTATCCCCTGCCAAAACTGTTTGGTAACGGCCGAACGCATGTGTTACTAGTTTCAGCGTTAACTAGATAGCCTATCGTGGCAAGGCCTTTCGATTAGATCGAAATAAAATTATTTTTTTTTGTATTAGTGGCAGACAGTTCAAGGACATGACACAATCACCGAATTAAAGTGGACAACGATGATAACCAAACGTTCATTGATTATAACCAGTAACTCAAAAATGTCTGTCTTACTAGTGATGAAATAATTGACAAAACACAAAGATATTGGCCATAATTGCCATGATTAATATATATGGGCACAAAATTATGCAAATAGTCTATTTTAAATATTGATCTTTAACAGTGTGCTTTGCTCTAATAAGACAGATATAGAAGGAAATACGAAATAAATTAGATTTTTCCTAAACTCTCCTACCTTCATGTTACGAAAATATTTTATGCTTAAGTCATGCGGCACGTCTAGAACACTCGTAGGAAAAATTAGACTTTGTTTTCAGAACGCTAAGTAAACAGGTATTCTGAGTAAAATATATACCCTCCTTACTCGTGATAGTAGGTTTATATCTAATGACTTCTTATCTATTTGGAATTATTTTCGCGGTTGTAGGAAATCAGAAGTTATTTTCACCTATCAATTAACCTTGTTTCACTTAGAATTTATAGAATGTGACTGTAACAAAAAATCAGAATGCATTAGTGGTATTTGCGAAATAGATAATTTTATACAACTTACAACGTCAGTATTGTAGTAAGTTCTAGAGTCACGTTTATGTTGATCTTCTTGGTGAATATGACGGAAAGCTTTCAGTCCCATAGTTACATTAATTGGCGTTACAATCTGGTGGTTTCGAAGAAAACAAAACCATGAAATGTTAACTTTTTGAGAAACGTTAATATATTTTGAGTTTAGCGAATAGTAGAATCCATGACGTGCGTTACCTTCTATTTGGAACTCGTCAACTGAATGTACTTGCAACCCAGTGTTGATATTAATGTCAAGACTTAAACTTGGTATTTACATCAGTTAATTGTCTCCTAAGTTGACTAGTTCCAAGTAAGACAAATTACACGTCTGGGATTTCACTGCTAGCTACAATACAAATACACCATAACTAGCAATAAAAAAATGGCATATTGAAGAGTCCGCTAAGGATGAACATATGTCCAATGACTATGATTCAGTTCTTAATGTAAACAAGCGAATGATACAAACTCTTGAGAACTTGAAAAGTCAATACATTCTGACAGCTATAACGACATCGAAAAAACTTAGTAATTAAATATTGGTCCGTATGTTTTGCGCCAATTTATGTACGTTAAGTAATTAAAGATAATAACAGAAGGCGAAATGTGAATATGGCAGTTTAGAAATGAAATCATTTCAAATGACCTGTAAACAATAATTTTCTGACAAAGATTAATTTTCCAGCTACATGATCGTTGGAAACTCATTTTAAACTCATTAAAATCAATCAAATAGGGAAATTTCTGGAGACGATTTGTATTCGTCAAATGCTCTTACTGCTCTATGAGTTTGAAGTACACTATAAATAATATTTGTCGAAGCACAAGATCAAGGTGAATTGGAAACATTTATTATTGGGTCATCAATATTTAATCCAAAATAAACTTGGAAAAGGAAGATTTCAAAAGAGGTTTCTTCAATTAAAACTGTCAAGCGTTTGAAATTTAAGCAACCTTATGGTGACGGTCTACAAAAGATTCAGGACTGATAAGTCCTGTAGGAAAATCTAATGTAGTGGTCATACATGTATAATCTTGATAGGATATTCATCCAATATCCTAAGAAAATTACCGGCCATTTCCAATTGATTAGTTTCTACTGGCCAATATTATGGTCGTCCTAGTAATCAATGTCACGTACTCCAATGTTGTTTCTTATTGGTCGCCCTGACTATCAATGTCACTTCAAATGTTGCTTCCTATTGGTCGTACTAACTGTCAATATCACAGGCTTCAATAATGTTTCCTATTCGACCTAACTGTATAAATACGCATTATCTGTAACGTTCTATGACCTGGACCCGGATCCCTGGTCCAGGATCCTGTTTCTATTTTGGACTTGGACCTCGCACTCTCTGGATGTTTGTACGATACAGGTTCTACTCCATATCGTCTTCTTCTTTACTCAATTGGAAGGTGGGATATAAGGATTAGAGTAGCATGTCGTATCGCCGGATCCTCGATGCTCGCTCTCGTTTTCCGACTAAGGGAAACTCGTAATAATTCAAGCATATTAAATGACGTGTTTACGTCAATGCATAACAAATCTACCTGTATTCGGAATCTGTATGGTGTGAAATTCAAACGATAGACAAATGAAGTGAATCAAACCAAATGTTTAGTTAAAACGATTACAATATATGTTTAAGCCAATAGGATATTCAGGAACTTAGGATCTAGGGTTTCAAAAGTTGCTAGAGGTTGCATATACTGTGGAAAAAATACTTTTTAACGCATCCAGAAAGAAAACTAGGTTACGGGTAGTCTTGATGACGCGGGAGGATACTCACAGAACCTATGGAATAACTGTGTGAAGCCTTTTTGTGATTGTTTCCAGAGGTGTTAGCTCTATACCTATAAGACCTGGCCAAAGTGAGGTGATTTGTTTTAACGGTCAACCTTTTTAACACTCTTCTAGAGTCGCAGCAGATGCTGGATGTTACACCCCTGTAAAAAAACGGCACGAGTTATCTGTACGGTTCTAAGTATAATGCCACTGGTCTTCCCACTCTGCAACCAATCTTGACTGGAACGATCGGATCCAAAGCAAAATATTCCAACCAGTCAAGTTGAGTATGGTCTTCATGACATCCAAGTCCAACCACTATATCAGGTTGAAAACTACAGTCAGGAAATGAAGACGTAAATCATGATGAATTTTATGAGATAACAAAATAAGTTATCTAATACTATTTATGGGGATGTAAAAATAATAGCGTTGCAATCTGACCGAATTCATGGTGGTCAAAATAAGACAACAGTATGTATGAGTTAAGTCAGTCGTTTATGTTCTAACTACCTGTAGAAAATGATAACGGCACAACCATTAAATTATTTTTTACTAAAACGAACTTCCTAGTAAACTGATAAACATGAAAACTTCATATTCCGAAGAGAAATTTTGTTTACACATATACAAAGGCGAATTTACTACTAAGATCAACTGCACATGAAAGTAGCAAAACTAATTTATTTTAACTATGAAAGAATTCCATCAGTGAATCAATATCAATATGAATTCTATTGATTATTACCTGAAATCCTTTCAACTTCAAACGAATCTGAAATTCATCATCCTCTCGTCCCCATCCCCAAAATAGATTTGACATACCACCAACTAAACTGTACTGAGTTCTTCTAATAATTAAAACACCACCAGCATATTCCTTAAAAAAGTGATAACGTGGATGAAGATAAGATGGAATAAGATGAATTGGTCCTAGTTCCGATGGCATATCATATTTTAATGCTGGATCTTCAGGAAGTAAGTCAACATCATGCAAAGCTAAATAATTTGTAAAAGGAAGTTTTACACAGCGTGAAGATAACTGATAAAATGAATTTTTTTGAATAATACTTTCAATGATTATTCCATTGACTTCAGCTTCAAGAGATTCAAGTGCTCCTACATTTAACAAAGCTCCTCTATTGAACCTAGAAATAATTAGAATTTTATACAAAAAGATATGCTTATATATATATATATATATATATATATATATATATATAATAACAGATGTTCAATTATTTAGACATAAATATTTGGAAGCTCAACATACCGAAGATCATCCACTTGGTTAATAATAAAAAAAGTATGACGGACGTTTTGATTATTGAGAAAGTTGTCTAAATGAGGTATGAATTCTTGCAATTCAGTGAAACGGTCCCTAAACGGTACTAAAACTGCCAAACGATTAGTAGTAGGATCTTTTTTAGAGTGACCAAGTATTGAACACGTTTGACTGTCAGCTGGACCCCACTGCCAATCAGACATACTTGTTATTACATCATTGACGATATAATATTTACTGAAGTACAGAAATGCTGTGAAGAAACATAATGTTATGATCAGAATGCATGTTCGTTCTTTGTATTTCCGACAATGAAACTGAAAAAAGAAAAAAACTAATTTGGATGATTAATAAAAATATGGGGAGCAAAATTACAAAGTACTGTCTTTGTAATTGTTTACCGAAGGCATTGATTGTTTGAGGTAACATTAGGACAATGGTTTCATTTTTGGTCCTTGACCTTAATGAATGAATTCACATGCACTAGAGTGAATGCTGATTCTTGTACTGAGATTCTATCTATTTAGATAATATTAAAAGTTAGCAAGATTATCTAAAAAACTTCGAAAATCTTTTACCTTAACAAAACTCATGATAATTTGTGAGGAAATTTAATTTTCTTTTATAGAACTAAGAATAATTTTAATATTTCATAATGTTTTTAGCGTCGTCTAAATATTTATAACTTCTAAAATAAACCATTATTCAAAACTTGTAGTTAATTTTTAATGACATTCTATTCGTATATTAAAGACATGAAATTCTCATAAATTTATTGAATTTAAAAGCCAAAGAGAGACAAATTCACTACTCAAAATGGATTTCAGATGGAATGAATGTCTTTTAAAGAAAACAAATCATTACACTGACTTTTACTTATTTGCTCTTCAATTTAAATCATCAGTATCAGTACGGCAAGTTTAAGGCACATATAAACAGATATCTAAGGGTAAACAAAATAAATACGTTCACCAGGTATATTAACGAAGATATTTCACTGAAATATTTAATTTGTTACATGAAATTTTACGTCTACTACTACTACTTAAATTCTCACAGTATAAGGACTAAATCAACTAACCTTTCTAGAGATCGTATGTAAAACTACCTTATTCACTAATACATCAATGGCACGGAGTTTAAAACTGTCTACCATAAATAAGAATAACAATAATATGTGTCAACGGTAATAAAAAGACAGATATACGAAATATAACCAGCAAAAAATGAGTAAAATCGAGAAATGACGCTTATCAGATAATTAGATTCGAGATTCTAAGAGCGGTATAGAATGAATGTATCTGACCCCTTTTAAGCCATGACACCTAAAGACACTAACCACAGACTACAGTTATCTATCTCATATTAACCACGAAATATGTTAACTTGAAGATGGCCCTTTTTTATGAAAATAATACATACTGATGGATATCAAGAAACTCAACAATGAGTTCTAAGATGTCGAACCTAGAATATATCACCAGTCACTACAACATACAATAGTAATTGAATTTTTGAAATTTATCTCGATACTAAACTCGTGACTGAGCCACGTGGAAAAAGATTGATACCCGGAAATTTAATGACCCTACTAAATTAAATTAGGCATATTAAAAGGCAATTATAGGAACATCGTTTTGTACGGATTAAGAAAACATAATTGGATTGATATTAGTGTAATCGTTTTTTGAGTTTATTTTTAAGACTAAAATGATCGACTTAATTTGCTGTATACCATTTGTGATGTATTCAAATAACTTGCTAATCACCAACAAAAAGCGTTTAGGACTCATCAACTAAATATTTGACGTGACCAATCTTTTTGGAGTATTTTGAGGAATCATTTAAAAGCAATCTATCACTTATCTTTCAAATATTGAAGAAGTTAAAACAATAATGACTGTTTAATATTTTCAAAAATGAAATAGTAGTAATGAAAAAAGGAATTCTCATCTATAAAATGTACTAGGGAGTTCACACCCCACTATCTGACTTCAGGTTATGCTAATAATTTATATAAATACCTGTCATGATATTCGCATGAAAGCCTAAATGTCTATTGAAACAACGTTCTCAAAATGACAGTGCTCTGTAATTTAGGTAGAGATTAAGTAGCATTATTATGGCAAATCATTGAGATCACTGACATACAAACTTTAAATTCACAAACTTTGAATAAAAATCTCGTCAAGTTCAATTAAAAGATGAATTCAGTCATTGAGAAGTGAAATAATCAGTAATACATCATAAGAAATTTCTTATCTACTTTACTTTTACAAATCACACAAATTAACTAAATGAACTCATAATTCAATTATATCAGAACGATAAAAGTGAACCGCAGTAAAAGACAGATAGATACAACGCAGAACTTCGTACATAAGTACATCAGTTCAGGTTGCCATACCACGGAAGCACAGAGACGTAACTGTCAGTTCAAATCTAAAAGTGATAGCGATAGTAGAATTATTAGCAGTAATGGAGAAGATTAGGGAGCGAAGATATGATTCGAAAAGTATAATTCAGTGAGATAAATTTAGAAGGAGAAAGATAGAGATGATGAGGAATTCAGAAGGTTAGAATTAAAAAGCACACAAAGAGTGGATGCACCTGCGCCATTGCAAACGATTCTGAGCCATGTCGTTCAAGGTCTCTAACCATTGGTGACTTTCGTCTCGCGGACCCCAACGCGATAGCCTACATCTACCAACATGACTCAATCCACTTGTCAGTGACTTCATGGATTTCTGCCATGTTTTGGTCTGGCCGCCCCTAACTTTGTTCCAACCTACTCCTACACCACAAAACATAGCTCGTCGCGGCAGTCGGTGATTATCCATACGTAACACATGTCCCAACAACCTCAAATGATGAAGCGTCACAACTTCATCTATTGATTTGCCATCCCTACTTAGAACTAGTATCCTGACGATAGCATTGCTTACTCGGTCGTCCCAGGATACACGAGCAATGGTTCGGATACACCTATGATCGAAGACTAGTAACCTACGAAGGTCCTCTACTCTTAACCGCAGTAAAAAGCATTGAGCGCTCCAGTATCAAATTACAACGTCCATAACAAAAGTCCTAACCTAAATAATCCATCCAGAGTACACATAGTCCATTTAAAGAGAATTCCCGTGAATATCTGTTTATAAAAATAATGCCCGAAATCATGGTGCAACATTCACATTTTGAGCATAGTTAAATGTAATGATACTCAGTAGTTTCAACTGACAACTTTCTTTAGGAATACTTGCTATATCTTAAATCAATTATCCACTAGTGGCCTCCAACTTGTTAACGTTGTCGAAACGTATTGCTAGCAATTAATAGCATATGATCACAACAATCCGAATTGATTAAATTTCCGTATACATGTTCAGCTGGAGAAAATGGTTGTATTCAGTGGAACATAAACAATGGGTTTTAAAAAAATTTTGGACAGCTTAAACAATAAGTATGCTTTGACAAAGTACACGTGATTTAAAAATGTGACCTATTTCACGAGTATGCCATATCTCAGAGAATACTTTTTTACTTTACAGTTAAAACAGTAAATCCCAATGATAGACTCTACTTACGTTAGCTTGATACATAATGGCGATTGATGAGTCAAACTAATGCAACATGCATACTGAATAAGTCAACATGAATATCAGCGTAATCAGTGCCATACAGTGAATAACTTCAGAGATGAGGACCTCGAAAACCTTTAAAGCTCATAAACCGAAATTATAAAATGATGTTCGCTTTATAGTAGTATCAAGAGAAATAAGGTAGGATTAGATCGACGGCAAATGTGCTGGCTGGGCTTGCCTGTCGTGATGACCCAACTGAGCTATATTGACAGGGATATATTTTCCTGTAGGTTCTACCATTCCAGGCAGATCGACTAGGGAACGGAAAGACCAGAGCAGGTACTCAAGGTCTGAAGGAGTTGTACTGCTGACTGTAGAGAGGTGTGACAGCAGTAAGATTCCTCCCTCGGACAGTTAGCATCTTCAGTGATGCTGCCTCCTTAAAACGGAAGAAAGGGGTTAGAAGAGATCGACCCTAATAATGTCACACCTTACGGATTTCCGTTGTCGGCAGTAAGGTCATGCGTGACCGACCTTGAGCAGTTGTCCCTTGGGCTCTGTGGTCACGCTCCCAGGCCTGTGGGAAGAACGATAATCGAACTTCCTTTTCAAGTTCCTCAAAAAAATCCCACGGTGTGGGCATCTGGGAAGTGACCTCCGCCATCATACCCGTAAACGCACACGAAACCAAATCGGTCACAAACGAATCCTTCCTGCACCCTCTAAAATCTCTCTTATCTCGACGACTAACCCTTCTCGTATTCATTACTCCTGGTCTCTTGAAACCCCGTTTTGAACTACATATTTGAGATTTTAATTTCTGAACATCGTGTCAAGTAAAACAACAGGCTACCTTAGCTAGGACTCCAGAATCCTGTGCCATCGACGTATGCTGCATCTCCAAAACGCGCATACAGGATCCGAGTGAATCATTAATTTGACTTAACCTTTTAAAAATAGAGAACCGTTGCAATCTGCGCTCCGTGTACCTGGAAGTCCTGCTTCCCATGACTTCGCTGATGTTTGTATAGTATTGAGTTCTAAAGCAGAACCATTTATCTCATACTGGATTCCAGTAGATGTTAGCTTGTGAACTGTTCGATTAAAAGGAACGGTGAGAACACGGACACTCACCGTTGCCTATTTTCATCTCTGCCTATGCTCCCACTGACTGCAGCTCAGATGAACATGAATTCCACAGAAAGCTTTCCACCCTTCTCCAAAAAGTTAAGCGATCTGATATAGTAATACTGGCTGGTAACTTCAGTGCTCAAGTAAGCAGACTGAGAGAAATGGAGAGACACCTGAGTTGATCTCACAGTGTCGCAACTCAAAAAACAGATAATGGCGACCGTCTGTTGCAACTATGCTTATTTCTGACAAACAACGACCTTCAGTATAAGTAATAAAAGTTTGTGACTGAGCGAACCCCGAAATCGAACAAACGATGGATCCAACTAGATCACATCGCTAACAGTCACTGATGGAGAGGCTCAGTACAAGACTGCTGCTCATTCCGGAGCACATGCTTAGATTCATATCATGTTCAAGTACGAGCACATATTTCTCTACGTTCCACTGGATGTAGGAAAGCCACAGTAAGGAAACCCCTGAGTTCTACTCAACGATAGCAGAGCCATGAGAACACTTCAGGAACTTAAAAAACAGTTACGCAGCCATGTAATTGATGCCCATCTTGAGGCAGCTTGGAATGATATCCAAAGGCTGTGGAATAAGAAGTGAAATCTGCCAGTAATTTAAACCAAAAGCAATGGTCATGAACAGTGGTGAGGCGAAAGCAAGAGAGATGGAAAAGGCAGTGGCGATAGGTAGAAATAGACAACTACTCCGACTAATCACGCAAACCGGTATGAAAATTCTAATTGTTAGTGAGAGTATTACAGAAAAAGAGGGGACTATTATTCATTTTCGATCCGTGAGATTAGATAGATGGGCAGAACACTTAGGGATCAGTTCAACTGGCCTTCAGTCGAACGTCCGTTACTCACGATCCCCAAACAACCCGATTCGCTTGGATCAGCATCTGAACCAGTGATAAGGAGTGAGGTAGTCGGAGTCTCTTTAGTGCCGATGGTCTGGTGTATGACAAGATACTCGAACGGATAAAAAAGGCTCGACTGGCTTTTGTCAACCTGCATCACATATGGCGCAGGGAAAAAACAATTTTCTAAACGAAAGACGAACATACTAAGCATCAGTTCATCCCGTCCTATTATACGAGTCCGAGAAACGTTCATTAGGGAACGAAGATACTCCTAAGTTACTGGTATTCAATCATAAGTGTCTTCTAAGCATTGATCAATTATCCTAGGACCGACGAGTAAACGATGCTGTTGTTAGGATACAGGTACTAGATAAGGATAACAGGTCAATAGATGAAGTAGTGAATCTTCATCATTTGAGGTGGTTGGGACATGTGTTACGTATGACAAATCACCGACTGCCTCAACGAGTGATGTTGTCTGATGTAGGGGGTAGGATGGAAGAAAGCTAAGCATGGTCAATGTAAAACAAGACACAAATCCGTAAAGTCACTGACAAATGGACTGAGCCATGTTAGTAAGTGTAGACTGCCTGGTTGGGGTCCGCAACACAATAGTAACCGATGGTTAGAGACTTTGAATAACATGGATTAAAATCGGTTGCAATGGAACAGATGCATCCATTCTTAGTCTTCTCTCGAATTCTAATCTCCTGAGTTCCTCACGAATGTTCTCTCTATTTTTAAGTTCATCTCTTTGGATTATATTTCTTGAATAATATCTTTGAATCCTAATCTTCCATATCACCTTTAACACTTCTGCTACCTCCACTGCTAGGGGTTTGGGTTGACAATTCCATATCTCTGTGGTAATGTAGTATGCCTACTTGGACTGATGTACGTACGTACGTTGCAGCTGAATGACTTATGAGATTGATTCAAAATCTGTTTTGAATTTTAAATAATTGGAAGCCTTTGAGATTCAAAGCTGCAGTTACTCGAAAATGATACTACTGGCATACCACAATCAAAAGTGAAGTGTAGCGAGGTGACTAAAGTTTTTACTTTACGTCGATAAAAAAAACCTTTAAGTATTGGCCGCAGACTGAAACACTAGCACCAAGCTTCTTGTTCAAGTTGACACTATATTCATAGCTACTTCACCGTGTTGAACCGAGAGTGAGTGATATATTCAAGTAAATGTTACGAAAAACCACCATAACATACTTAATGTATTAAAATGTGTTAATAGAACGTGGACAGGATTACATTATGTTCAATACAGTATTGTTTTGTGACACACCGATGAGCCCATTCTTAACAAATCAGCGTTGTCGTATAATTGGAGAAGGTTCTAGGTTATTCGTGTAAAATTTATAAATATCCTGACGTTTTTATTACTATGATTCGTCCGCATTCAACGTGGTTTGTCAGGATAGAACCTTTCAAGCTGTGTTCTGGTTTCGGGGACTAGTCGAGTGATCCAGTGTTGAAGAATACTAAGTAGTAAGGTATCTGAGTCGTATAAGCGAGATCATTAACAAAAGGATTTATTCCTACTGTTTTGACTGTCATAAAATAATAAAAATACAATAACACACAAAGCAGCTGGAAACAGTGAATAGATCAAAGCGCAAAAAAATAAGTTGACTAGTCAGGTATATCGACTAATATGTAACAAGACACGTCAAATATTTAACCAGAAAAAGCACCAACAACCTAAATTCAAGTAATATTCAATTGCTATTGCTGAATTATTGACCATTCAGCTGCAGTATGTAAAAAGGCAAACACTAGTTATGCTACTTTCTTAGAAACTAGAAAGGGTTTTAATGGATAAGTTACTTTAAAAACTAATTAAAGACGATGATTCAGAAAAGTATGGTGTACAATAAAACAATAGTTGGGATTAGACAGACTAAACATTTACAAACCTAGAAGAATGATTGAGGAATGATCATCATGGGATAATACTAAGTTCAAGGCTTAGAAGTACGATGTAGTGTTCGTAACCAGACAATTATTCAAATCAATGCATAGTGCTATTATGTGTGATAATACAACAAAAATAGTAACACAGTCAGACATGATACGAGCAGCCAAAAAGGTCAACAAAGAAAAGTGTTATATAATTTATAATTTACACACATACGATTTAGAGCAATAAGTTCTTTTTGTAAATTTTGATAGAACAATGAGAAGACGGGGTTGATCTCAAAAATGTGGTGCATTTGCTCTTTTATTTAATTTGCCTTTGTCAGTTAGGTTTCGAACAAAATGCCTTGGCAAGTATATGTGTAACCAGATTGTTCAAAATGTACGACGAAAATATGTCAAATGTTTCAGATAGACTCCGTCTTCTCATCGTCCCGTAAAAGTAAATATAAATGCTCAAATGATTTACAAAAAGCTTGTCGAGAAAAGGAGAAAAGGTTTCACATCAAAGAAGTTTATTTATACACTTGAACACTATCAGTTATACAAGGCCATCACAAATCACTAAGGTAAGTGATCACAAGGTCTATATACAAATAAAAATGTGCCAAGAGTTCTCTTAACAAAGTAAATTATCGTACGCCTTTGAGACGCCATAATCCGTCATTCAAATAGTGCACATTCTCGACCCCGATACCTTTGTTGATTGTTAAGCTATTGAGATAGAAAGAAGAGAATAATCATTGGACAATAAATATTAGGAATGTAGTTAGCTGATTTAATCATCATAATCACGGTAAACTAGTCTACAATCACATATGTTTCAAACATTCAATCAATAAATGCAGGAAAACTTTTCAACATAACAACTTAAAGAAAACGAAAATCATATTTCGTAAAGATAACCGATGCTCTATAAACTTCGCAGAAACAGCAGGTTCACTATGAACCTTTTTATCGAAATGTAATATAATATTGGAAGTTTTGCCATAATTGAGGAAATGTATAATCAAAACTCCCAACTTAATCTCACTATCATAAAAACAAACTTGAGTACTAGTCATAAACACTGATAAATGTACATAATAAACCAAACCTGTTTTTTTTATTGTACTAAATGTTTCTCTTTCGTTCCCCAATAACATTTAGATTTGTGCTAATTACGTTTGTTCATCTATATATTCTCCGATTAAGTGTATTACAGTGAGTCACGAAACGTGAGAAATCGGATTTTCTATATGTTCAGATAGAACGAAAATGTAAGCATACTTATTGCTAAAAATATGCCCTATCAATGGTAATGATACATACTTGATACAGTAAGGCTATCGCCTCAAAACAAGAGCATATTTACTGGACGATTTTAAACACACAGCAAATATAAAGATGACGTCTGTCTTTGGAGCTAAGCATCATAAGTACTAAAATCAATCTGATTTAGAGGCAGTTTTCAAAGCGAGTTGATAGCACTTGAATAACAAATGAATAACATGATAAATTCAAACTGTATTCTCCGTATAGTATATCCGCTGAAACTCAGAACTTCGTAAGTAGATACATCAGACCAAGTAACCATACTACACTACCACAGAGATATGGAATTGTCAACCCAAACCCCTAGCAGTAGAGCTAGTAGAAGTGTTAAAGGTGATATGGAAGATTAGGATTCAAAGATATTATTCAAGAAATATAATCCAAAGAGATGAACTTAAAAATAGAGAGAACATTCGTGAGGAACTCAGGAGATTAGAATTCGAGAGAAGACTAAGAATGGATGCATCTGTTCCATTGCAACCGATTTTAATCCATGTTATTCAAAGTCTCTAACCATCGGTTACTATTGTGTTGCGGACCCCAACCAGGCAGTCTACACCTACTAGCATGGTTCAGTCCATTTGTCAGTGACTTCACGGATTTGTGTCTTGTTTTACTTTGACCACGCCTAGCTTTCTTCCATCCTACCCCCTACATCAGACAACATCACTCGTTGAGGCAGTCGGTGATTTGTCATACGTAACACATGTCCCAACCACCTCAAATGATGAAGATTCACTACTTCATCTATTGACCTGTTATCCTTATCTAGTACCTGTATCCTAACAACAGCATCGTTTACTCGTCGGTCCTAGTATAATTGATCAATGCTTAGAAGACACCTATGATTGGATACTAGTAACCTACGAATATCTTCGTTTCCTAGCGGTCGTTTCTCGGACTCGTATAATAGGACGGGATGAACTGACTTGCAGAAGTTTCGTCCTTTGATTAGCTAGGCGTGGTCAAATAAAACAAGACACAAATCCGTAAAGTCACTGACAAATGGACTGAACCATGCTAGTAGGTGTAGACTGTCTGGTTGGGGTCCGCAACACAATAGTAACCGATGGTTAGAGACTTTGAATAACATGGATTAAAATCGGTTGCAATGGAACAGATGCATCCATTCTTAGTCTTCTCTTGAATTCTAATCTCCTGAGTTCCTCACGAATGTTCTCTCTATTTTTAAGTTCATCTCTTTGGATTATATTTCTTGAATAATATCTTTGAATCCTAATCTTCCATATTATCTTTAACACTTCTACTAGCTCTACTGCTAGGGGTTCGGGTTGACAATTCCATATCTCTGTGGTAATGTAGTATGGCTACTTGAACTGATGTACGTACATACGTAGGAGATTCTACGTTGCAACTAACTGACTGATTGACTCACTAGCTGCAGATGCTGTATAACCAGAAAAATACAAGTACATTGTGCAGTGTAACTACACATATATCTACTTGTTCGTCAAGAACAGAATGCAGAAACAGAATTCCACATTAGAATATAACTTCTTATGAATAAAAACTGGATAGTAGGGAAATCTCAGATGTATCGTTATGTTATTCAAATTACTTATAAAAGTACATTTATAACAAAGTTCCTTACATTCTTTCTGTTCCAACTTAACTGATTTTGCTCATACGCTTGGGTGAATATTATTTTCGTCGCTTAAACGTTCAAATCTATAAAGTAACACTGCAATATTATTAAATAATAAATAATGCTTTCTTCTACCGGCAACACTTCAAGTTCTAAATTCAACAAACCAATATAATTAAGATCAATCAGTTTTCCTAAATAGTTTAGGAAGAATCAAAGAACCCGAATTCGTAAAAATTCCAAGGATAGGTATAAAACTTCAAATATTTAGTTTCCCAAAAACTCACATTTCATCAGTAGATAACAGGGTAATACCGACGGCGAGTGCATTCATTTTGCCTTCTGCCATTATAGCAACAATCGATTCCTTGGGTACTTCCGTCATTCGAGCACCTGGTGATGTCAAACCACGGCACATAACATTTGAGCCATTTAAAACATGCTTGATGGCACCTTTGTCAACTTGTAGATGAGGTAGGATGAAAGGATCTGAACAATTTTTACACAGGTTTAGAAAAAGTGGGTCAACTTTCATAAAAGATGGATACATATTAAGATACATAATAAGACATAAAGTTCGACAGACGCTGAAACCTTAATTGAAGACTGTCTTCATATCTGTTATTAGTTGATGATACGAGAAACACATATTCGAGAATCTTTTCAGATTCACATAAGACGCTTCAAAAATTACACTAATACTCTGGTCGATAGGCCTATACATGAATTTGAAGTAGTAGACATAGAATATCGGTCACTAGATTTTCGATAAGTTCAATGCAGATAAAAAAGGACATGATTTACTACACAAAATGTGCATTTTTCCGAAACGATCGTAAATTGGTTGTACGGTTAGCACCCTCATAATTAACTAGTCAAATATTTCTGGCCAACAATGACTAGGTCATGAAATGCAATAATTCCAATGTTTCATAGAAAAAACTATTGGAATCTATTCGATAGAGTTTTAAATCGATTAGATCACTCACAAATACAATACCGAAAATTATGAAAATCATCACCAGAAAAATCTACCTACATTTATGAAGTAATCTAAGAGATGGAATAAATGGTCCTTCACGTTGCCGGAAAAACATGACCTCGCCATCGGAATCTGAATACAAGTCGACGTGTTCGTGGCTGAATTCGTTAAAAAATAGATACTATAGCACCATACCACTTAATATGTTTTACTACGTCTTTTTTAGGTAAAATCTGATCAACCATTTCTTTACCGATACCATAATCTTCAGTTAGTCGAGTACGCAAAGACTTGACAATCGAATTCTTCGCATTGTTAGTACAAGAAATGTCCTCTTTTTCGTCGAACCTGTGAGCATCATCAACCGTAAACCTATTTTACTTCTTGAACATAATTAGTTCTATTCGTAGTAATTTTTGTTGTCAGCCGAATCTGAGGCACAAAACAATACGTCCGAAACTACCTTCCTACAGTGCCAACAAAGGTCAGCTTATGATTGAAGTTGCCTCCCTTCGGTTTTAACCATCATTGAAGGCTTGCACTACCGTCGTCATTGTATGCTTGCAGTCACTGAAGTCTATGGTATGCTGTCAGTTTGGCTTAGCTTTCTAGTATATGTGCACTTAGAAGATTATAAATTACGGAAAACAGGAATCCATGTTTATCGCCTATTTATTATGACAGCTAAATGCATCTGTATTATTTCATCTAACAATAAACGTGTAAGTTTTCGTCAGTTAATCTATCATTCGAATGTGCTCAGTACTTTTTAAAGTATTTTGAATAACTCAGCTAATACTCTATGACACACTACTATTAATCGTACACATTGAGTAAATACCTGAGCCACTCTGACTGATCGATTACGTGGACGATTTTAATTTATTCCAATGCAGTCCAGATCACATAAGTCCAAAGCAGTCCTGGGTTCATTCTGCTAGTACAAAAGTCTTGAATATTCTGCTGCTTCGTTACTGCTATCCTCACATAATAGCCGATGATCCTAGGTGAGTCATCAAAATAAATATTCAGCGGTGAGTATATTTCCAAAATAAATTGGTCTTAAAGTCTTTGACATTGATTCCTACCTCAATGTATTTACATTACCTGAAAGGATTCGGTTACGCATCCCTACTACATCACAAACGGGTACGACTTGATAGACATCTTTCGCACCAACTGACCAGTTTATATCACCCACTTCTCAAACTACCAACGATCTTTCAAATACGTCTTTGACTTCTGGCTTGACGGGCCTCGGATTTCTTGGATGTAACGGTGTCACGGCTATGAATATGAGTGGTTGGACTGAGGTGGTCTGATACCACGAACGAAAAACTGATTCTGTTCCTTGGTTAAAACTCCATACCTACTCTAATTTTTGCGCTATACTGTTTTTTCATCCTTAGATATTTTTTTGCGTATCTTTATATTTTGTCATAATTTGTTGTCTTCCGGAGTTTTTCAACAACGAAGTTCGCAGACCCTAGCCTTTGAAGTAATGACATATCTACCGATAATATCGAGTCCTGGTTCTGTTGCGGAGAGACCAATGTCCACGAGCACAGCCTGAAAGACCCAAGTATGGAATTCCTGGCAGTAGCAAACAGAAAGTTTCCGTTCAGTCAGTATGTGGCACCTAGTTCACATACTAGTGGTGCTTCTGAAACTTATGATACGTCAAAAAATTCTATCTTTTAATCTATAGTTATTCCACAATATGGAAATGAAGAAGAGCTATTAAACAAACACGTTGCTAAATAATAATTCGTCAGTGAACTTTGGATGAAGGCTTTTCATAGAGATATTTTGACTTAAAACTTTTCATAAATTGAGACAGGGACACCTTTCGATAATTAATAGCCTCGTAGATAAGTTGTTGCATTAGCCGTTAGCAAATAGGAGGTTGGCAGAACCCCAGACCTATGATTGTAAATGAATTTCTACAGTGGCCGTTCCAGTGGGTTCCAATAGGGGCACTCCTGTACGATTCTCCCAGTCCCGGGTCCCAACCAAATCAAAAAGGACAAAAATTCTAGGAGAAAGCGATCTGGAAATAGTGCCTCTTCCAGGGTACAATTACTCCGAAGAGTATCAGACACAGTGACAGATAAGTGACGCTAAGTCCAGCGGCCACTCCATCAATCCAAATATGGCTGTAGCCATATTAAAGATCAATTTTAGACAACATATATACAGATCAGAAGCAAACACAAAAAACTTCAATATAAGTACAAAATATAGAAATAATAACAATATACAATGATAAAATCTCAAATTGGAATCAAATAAAATACCAAAAATGTCAACAGAAAAAGTCCGTCATGTCATAGCAAAAATATGTAAACATGGAGGGATTTTCCAAAAAACAAAACATTCAAAAAGGATTCTACAATGATGTTATATCTGCTACGCACAGCAGACTCTCGTGCATCGTTCTATCTAACAAATTCAATCTCCAATGGGCGAACGGAAAACCCTTCGCCACCTAAGGTTACGGTAAGGTTAAACTTAACGTGGATTTGTGCAAACCATTCACTACATTTTCGTCGTAGCGTACATGTCCATTCCAACCATTGGTATATATTTACTACAACACTATAATCTACCGAAGCAAACGATGACTAGTAGAGGCTATACTAAAGTGTGTGTTTCTGAAGTTTCACTCTCTGGTTGTGGGTTATGCCCAGTCACTTTCAAATACAAATTCGACCTGTTATTTCAACCATTACTCGACAGGTACCCGAAGCTGTACAAAACACGACCGCAACTGCTGTATATAATCAGCAACGTTGCACATAATACCACGACTACAGGACTACCTGAATTCTTAAAAGCTCGACTAATGACTCACGAAAGCTAAGCCTTTCCAAAAACGAATTCAACCAAATGATAGATTTAGGGATTACCCAACTGCTAAAGAGTTCATAGGTATCTCCAATGCATATGGCATCAAAAGCGCAGCAATACTGTTCATCCAACCGGTGATTATCGACGACTAAATACAAAAACCACACCCGCTATAAATTCACTACCTGAAAACTGCCTTCATTAGTCCTTTCGAAAATTGACTTAGTTAAAGCCCATATCCAAATCGCTGTGACTGCAGAAAACGATATCACCTCTTCGCTTGGTCACGCCTTTTGGTTCAAGAAATGCTGCTCAGACGTTTCAGAGACTCGTTGATGAAAATTTTTAGGATTTCAACTTTGTCCAATGACTGTGCTGATGACTATATAACCACAAGTCCGGACTGATAATTTCGTCTTCAACATCAGGGACTTGTTTTCCAACGGACTCAAGAGTATGTCATTACTGTAAACATACGGAAATGTCTTCGACATACTGTTGAAGCTCAAGAGGAATTCGTGGTCATCACAACAAAGTTTACCTTTACCGATGGATCATATCAAACTGGACATCTTTCATGAGACTCTTGGAGGATCAACTACGTGGAAATGAAAACTTCGTTGACTTGGACGATACTGAATGAAGCATTTTCCATTGTGAAGGAATATATCTTCTAGTCGACTATGCTAGCACAACTAGACTCAGAAGCATTCGTCTGACTCGGCAATTAGACGAGTCATGTAACACCTAGTAACCTTTCGCCTCCCACTCGAAGTATTTGCAGGACACTGAATCAAAATTTGACACTTCCAGCAGGGAAATCAGCTATGTGTTGTGCTATATAACACTTTCAATAATCAATGGAATACAGAGGATTCACTCTGTTCACCGACCATAGGTCCTCAACATTTTTCCTCATCTCGTCTTCAGACAATAACTCTTTCTGAGAGTCCCGATATCTGGGGTAAACTATATGGTTGCATACGCTTTTTTTCGTGTAAATTCCTTGAACTGCTCCTGTGGGATCGACTTTTCTAAAGTCACTCAGCTTAAAAAAGACACAGATCTTCAACACTAGTTGTCATAGACAGCTCTGAAGTTAAACATCAAACAGATGGGAACGAGTAGGGAAACTTCACTGTGTGACGGGATTGGGATCGCCCTATCTTGCGTGAATGTCATCGACGCTGTATCTTTAGTACGCTACACACACATTCTCATCCATATGTCTGAGCAAGACGATCTGGCTGGGCGGATATGGACAAATAAGTGTGAGAGTGAGCGCACTACAGTGTAAGCTGCAAAATGTTAAGGTCGTGGGACTTAATGAATGTGTCCTAGGCCACTTTTTAACCCAAAACACTCCCTTTTATCAAATTCATCTCGGTTTGGTAGGACGCATATCAGGTTCGAATGGGAACCCTTACCCCTTTATGTGTATCGTTTTACTCGGTGGCCAGAAACAACACCCATCAATCATGCTATCGTGAAATCAGTGATCCGCGCCCTCATTGGACGACGGTGAGAAACGTCAGCGTCCCTACAACAATTACTACAGGTCATCAGAGCCAGTTCAGCTGTGTTTTTCCACTGTCTTGCTACACTCCTGGGAATCAGATGATTCCGGACAACTGCCTACAGTCCACTAGCTAACGGCTTCATAGAACAGCTTGGCAACCTAATTTTTATCTGAAACTTACTTACTTACTTACTTTCGCCTGTTACCCCCAATCGAGCATAGGCCGCCCACCAGTTTTCTCCAACCAACTCTGTCCTGGGCTTCCCTCTCCAGTTCTGTCCAATGTTTGTTCATTCCTCTCATGTCTTTCTCTATTTCTCGGCGTAGTGTGTTCCTTGGCCTTCCTCTTTTCCTTTTGCCTTGAGGGTTCCATGTGAGGGCTTGTCTAGTGACGCAGTTGGGTGCTTTTCGTAGTGTATGTCCTATCCATTTCCACCGCTTCTTCCTGATTTCCTCCTCCACTGGAATCTGGTTTGTTCTCTCCCACAGTTCGTTGTTGCTGATGGTGTCTGGCCAACGAATACGAAGTATTTTGCGTAGACAACTGTTAATAAACACTTGTATCTTCTGGATGATGGCTTTGGTAGTTCTCCATGTTTCCGCTCCATACAGTAGAACTGTCTTGACATTTGTATTGAAAATCCTGATTTTGGTTTTGTTTGAAAGTTGTTTGGAGTTCCAGATATTTTTCAACTGTAGAAATGCAGCCCTTGCTTTGCCAATCCGCGCCCTCACATCTGCGTCCGATCCACCTTTCTCGTCGATGATGCTGCCAAGATATGTGAAGGTGTTAGCGTCCTCCAAGGTATCTCCATCAAGAGTGATTTGGTTGGTGCATGTCGTGTTGCATCGGAGAATTTTGCTTTTTCCTTTATGTATGTTGAGACCTACTGCTGCAGAGGCTGCTGCTACACTGGTCGTTTTCTCTTGCATTTGTTGTTGAGTATGCGATAGAAGAGCCAGGTCATCTGCGATTTCCAGATCGTCCAGCTGCGTCCTAACTGTCCAGTTGATACCGTGCTTCCCTCCAGATGTTGACGTCTTCATAATCCAGTCGATGACCAGGAGAAAGAGAAAGGGTGAGAGTAAGCAACCTTGCCTCACACCGGTCTTCACCTCAAAAGAGTCTGTCAGCTGACCTCCGTGTACGATTTTGCAGTTGAATCCATTATAAGAATTCCGTACGATGTTAACTATTTTCTCAGGCACACCGCAGTGTCGAAGAAGCCTCCACAGTGTTTTCCTATCCACGCTATCGAATGCTTTCTCGTAGTCGATGAAGTTGATGTAGAGTGGTGAGTTCCATTCAATCGATTGTTCCACAATGATCCGTAATGTAGCAATTCGGTCAGTACACGATCGATCCTTACGAAATCCAGCCTGTTGATCTCGAAGTTGGGCGTCTACAAAGTCCTTCATTCTGTTTAACAATACTCTGTTGAAGACTTTGCCTGGTATTGAAAGAAGAGTGATGCCTCTGTAGTTCTCACACTTGCTCAGATCGCCTTTCTTTGGTATTTTGATCAGGTATCCTTCTTTCCAATCTGATGGTACTTGTTCCTCATCCCTAATCTTCTTGAAGAGAATGTGAAATATTTTCGCAGTTGCTTCCACATCTGCTTTCATTGCCTCTGCTGGAATGTTGTCTGGTCCTGCTGCTTTGGCGCTCTTGATTTGTCTGATGGCTATACTGATCTCCTCAATCGTAGGTGCGCCAATATTAATTGGGAGGTCCGTGGATGCTGCTTCGATGTTGGGTGGGTTCAGTGGAGCTGGTCGATTCAATAGTTCCTTAAAGTGCTCCATCCACCTATTTCGCTGTTCGTCAGTGTTGCTGATTATTTTCCCTTCCTTGCTTTTCACTGGTCGTTCTGGTTTACGATAGTTTCCGGAGAGCTTCTTTGTAGTTTCGTACAATTGTCTCAAGTTTCCTTCTCTTGCAGCCTTTTCCGCCGTCATTGCTAGATAATCCACATATTTTCGTTTGTCAGCTTTGATGCTCTACTTCACTTCCCTGTTTGCTTCTGTATACTCGGCTTGCGCCTTAACTTTCTCTGCTCTTGTTCGGCAGACATTGATTGCTGCCTTCTTGTTCCTCCTTTCTTCAATTTTTTCAAGAGTACCAACAGAGATCCATTCTTTGTGATGGTGCTTCTTGCGACCAAGGACCTCCTGACATGTTGAAGTGATTGCCTCCTTAATCCCTTTCCAATTGTTCTCCAATGTTGCTTCCTCTCCATTGAGTAGATCCTGAAAGGCCTGGAACCTATTGGTGAGGGCTATCTTGAATTCGTTGAGTTTTACGGTATCCCGAAGAAAGGCCGTATTAAACTTCTGTGATGTTGTCTGCCCCGCTGTCCAGTGCTTCTTTAGCTTCAATCTCATTTTGGCGATCAGCAAGTGGTGATCTGAAGCTATATCAGCTCCTCTCTTGGTTCTCACATCCTCCATGGTCCTTCTGAACTTTTTGTTGATACAGATATGGTCAATTTGGTTTTGAGTAGTGTGGTCCGGTGAAATCCATGTGGCTTTGTGAATGCGTTTGTGCGGGAATATTGTGCCACCGATGACCAGTTTGTTGAAGGCACATAGGTTTGCAAATCTCTCACCGTTTTCGTTCCTTTCTCCCAGTCCATGTCGTCCCATGATGTCTTCATATCCAGTGTTGTCCATTCCAACCTTGGCATTCAGGTATCCCATAAGAATCGTCAAATCCTTTGGTGAACATTTATCGACGACTGACTGCAGCCTTTCGTAGAATTGATCTTTATCGTCGTCATTGTAGTCATTGGTAGGTGCATAACATTGGATGACGTTCATTGTAATGTCCGCTTTCTTTGTTTTGAAGGATGCTTTAATGATCCTGGGTCCATGAGATTCCCATCCTATCAGTGCCTTTTGTGCATGTTTGGACAGCATCAGTGCAACTCGTGGTGTATGTGAAGCGTTTTCCTCTTCATGACCAGAGTATAACAGCAGTTCCCCTGAAGCAAGTCTCAATTGTCCTACCTGTGTCCAATGTGTTTCACTGATGCCGAGCACCTCGAGGTTGTATCTTTTCATTTCTGCCGCAACTTGAAATAGTCTTCCAGTTTCCCACAATGTACGAACGTTCCATGTACCTAAAAAAATGGTTGCTCTGGTTGTCAGAAGAGGCATCGGCCCCGTGACTTCCGAGGGAACTCGGCTTTCATCACGAGACGTCATAATTCTTCTTCCAACTCCCAGGGCAGAGTTAAAATGGTTTGAATTATTTTTTCTGGTTAGCGTTTTTTGGCAAGTTAGATTTCAACGGAATGGGGCCGCCAACCCCATGTCCAACCCTCCTCCTTTATCCGGGCTTGGGACCGGCAGTAGCCCCTAAGGTTCTACTGGCGGAGTTTTTTATCTGAAAACGTGTCAAAATTTTTTGAAGCTGTCACACACTTCTTACTAGGAGTTCGTAATGTCAATATTTGTCACCAATTGAGACCACCTATTATCCTGAACGTTCGGTCGTGTTGGATCGCACAGTTTAGCTGCCATTTATCATTAGTGAGAAGGATACTCTTTCGATGTGAATGATGAGTAAATCTATGCACAGTGTTGTTTAAACACAATTTCGGAAGTCAAACTAAAATTTCTATTTCGTATTTTACACTCTGACTCGTCTAACTTAAACATACAGTTATCTTCGATGTTTACCATACTCAGTGCTGTTTTAAGGTAAATACTTGACTTCCGTTGAAATTAGCCTAATCGTGAATTACTTGCGCTGTCGTTAGACTCGTTCTAGTCATATGAGCATGCTACTCATTGTTGTACACAAAAATTGTTCCAAGTGTCAATAAGACGAGCAAAGTAACTACAACTGACGTTGAACGTATTGTTGGAAAACTTGTTGACGGCTCAACACTTTGACTTCGCCCAGATTACGTATGTTATTTGCCTTAATAAACGGGTGTCGAACAAAACTTTAAGTCCAAAATTCTTGCAAATGCGCAGCGTTTAGTTAAACCTGTTTCCATCCAACCGTATTCATCTGATGTATTCGTCCAGTTTGCTGTTTGACTTAGTGCATACATTTTCGGAGACCGTGACTCATGAAATATGTTACTATAAGATGCCTGTGAAGGACTATATTTAGTTCCCAGTCGCGGACGCCTGCATCATACTATTGATAGGCAAGGGAAGAAAGAAAAAGTTATTTGACTATCAATTAGTCAACGAATGGGGACACGAGGCATTACCAAACCAATTACGGCAATAGATCACAGCATTGCTCGAGTAGGCACCCACACCCAAGATGAAAAGCATATTTCTAAGAGAAATGCAACTGCGGTTGATAGTTAGCTGTCGTGTACCGTAGGTAGGAATGACAGAGCGGTCGAAGCATCGTAGCTTGTGACTTGCTGCTACCAAGTGATACAACAGAAACTTGGGCACTTGTGAAAATCAAGCATGTAAGATAAACTAACAACCTGAAGTGACGGGGAGGAGACACGTGACAATGCAACGACCAGCACCTTGGGGTCTATAATTATAGCTATCTACCATTTCGAAACGTTGTTGCAAGTATAATATATATTCAAGACATTATTAATAGTATTGAGAAATTATAAAAATGGTGATAGGTGAATAATAGACTCACTGTAATTGACTTCTTCTGAAGAAACGTCGGGCTCACCAATTGTAGTGAGCGAGTCAAGATACCAGATTGATTATGATCACCACTAAATGTTCCATAATATCCCGTCATTAAAATCAAAATAAATCCATGGTTGAGTATTTTATTGAAGGAGAACGTTGGCATTACATGGGGGGAAGGGCATTCAGAAAAATGGCAGCAACGCGAAAAGAACGTTGAGCGCAAGGAGTAGTAGAAGTGTTTTTGGTACAGTTAAACAAAACGAGCACAATAATGTTTATTTTTCACAAATCGTAGAAGTGTTCCACTCCAAGATCAAGACAAACTGATAAACGAAACTGGAAAGTTGTTAGAGTAAGGTTTCTAATGTTTTACTTACTTAGCATTCATTCAAGTGCTTACGCTACCATTATCTTGTTCAGTTCGTCCTAGTCTCATGATTGTGTAATATCTGATTTTTGTGGATTATTTCCTATATTGAACGTAAGTGTATTCTATGTGTTTTTTGGGTCTTTGGCTCACTTTTTCTCTTGTTATTTTGTGTTTTTGATCGCATCACACTCCCCCAGTTCACAAGGTACCCTTTGACTAAACAATATCTTTTCAAAGACTAGAGTTACTTACTCTCTACCAAATGATCTAAGAATTCGCCACGATCTGAGGTATTTTTCAGAAATAATATGCCTTATGGGGGAGAAACATTCACACCGTCAGTGGGAGAAATAGATCTTTACCCAAGTTCGTTAGATTTGGAAGATCGATCAACCTCTGTCAATCCTTGCAATCTATAGTGTTGTGGAGATTTATTCACCTTTTGAATTAATCACCTTGGTAAACGACGGTAAGATGACATGTGCAGTTTGAGGTATCTCAGTCCTTATAAGGTAGTTCCTACACCGATGAACTCGTTCAAATATATAATCTATATATTTATAAGAAGAATTTGGTGTTTTAATTTCGAATTACAAATGCTGCCTGACAAACTTCGGTTAGAGTACCCCAAACATTTAATCCAAGTGATGAAGTGACTTACGAATAACTCAGGACCCTAAAGCCTTTGCCGGCGACAACCTTGTATCTAATCGTAGTTTTATGATAGTTGCTCATTTTGACAGTCTATCACTTTAGGCAGCACTCGCTTATCGTGTAGTTACGTAAACCGTTGAAGTTATATGCACCACTGAACTTTTATCAGGATTACCCTTCAATAACCACCCATTCATTCATTCAACCAGTTGGTTTAGTTATTGTAACATTAACCTATCCAACGTACAGTGTATGCATACAGTTGCAAAAGTGTAGTAATGCGTGTAAATTTTGAGGATCCATAGGTCTCCAAACTTCGATTTCACTAGCAAAGAGTGACCTTGAGGAATTCCACTATTGCAGATTCCTCTTGTTGATAAGGTCCCGTTTACTCGTACCCATCATCATATTATATATATATATATATTGCCGAAATACTATTTTTGTCGCAGTCTAGTTTTTTTTGCAACGAGATTTGTCAAGAGTAGAAGGCCCTTCCTATAGTTATGTTGTTTCTTGGCCGAGATTATTCCCTTTCATAGCTTAGAATAGCCATCAAACAATCTTTTCTTTTAGTTGCGCGACTGCATTGGCCAGGTTAGTGAATCAATGTTTACTAACCAAATCCGATATTCTTTTGTAGCCTTGTGTTTCCACTCTGAACAAACTATTCAATCACATTTCTGTTGGTATACGCAACTGTTTTACTGTAATACTGCTATTCTATTATAATAATGATTGATGCTTCAGTAAGTTCCAAACCGATGTAATTTTATTTAAGTTGCTCAGATGCCCTGCTGTCGTTATTTTTAAAAGTTACTTTAAATGTTTTATTAGTATAATTTTGTCTGAGAAGCCAACGTTTTTTGTATTGAAACTAAATCTCCGTAAACAGCTTTGTTTTGTAGCTTCTTATTTTACAAAGTGTAACGTCACACTTCGCAACCTGAACTGATGTACGTACGTATAAAGTTCTACGTTGCACTGATTGTAACGTCACATGACTTATCAGCCGAAGATCTAGTTATTATTAAGAAGTTTTTGCGATGGCTAATAATACAAACGTATCAATATTTTACCCCAAAGTTGTGCAAAGTTGTAAAAGAAGCTGGAATTATTACTTAATTGAATTGTAAAACATTTCACACGAAAATCAAATCAGTTAATATTCGAACCTTAAGTTCTGATTGAAGTTTAAGTAGGTTACAAGCTTTTGAGTACTAAAAAGCAGTGCGTATTTGCCTCAAATAGCTAAGCCTACCATAATCAAAAACAGGTAAGTTTTATGAAGTAATCTAACCATAAGATAACCATTGCAAAAATATCACTAATAGTGTGGTTAATATTCATATTAAAGCGATAATGCTTTTGGCTTACGTGACATTAGAAATTCACCTTTTTGACACCGTGATGTGATCCTAGTTCATCAAGTACATTTACTTTTATTACGCGTAGTTCTTACATTTCGAGACAAATTCATACTTCCTAAATGGAGTAGTTGGGCAGGCTTTTATGCCTCAGAATTATTTTATTTTTGATGATTCTGTTACTAAAAGTTTAGTAATTTTAATTTGATTCACTGAACAACTGTTAGACCGCTCTACATATCAGCTGAAATTTCTGTCAAAAATTATGTGAACATTCGTCAACATTTAGATGAAATTTAACGAAAATCGGGTGTTGGGTATATAAAAGTGATTAGATGCAATATTTTTAATCAAAATAATTACGACGATTGTTATATTAAGGTTCAATAAACAAATAAAGCATCTGGATACAGATAGAGATAAATTGACCCTTCTTTCCCCATCTTAAAACCTGAAATATATATGAGTAAATTAAGGTTGTTGAAGTATATGGGGATTAAGAGCAGGAGGATATTGAGTTGTGATGTTAAAACTAACTGAAAATACATCTAAACTAAATAACTGACTTAATAACTAAACATTCGTTCTTGTCAGTCAGGTTACGGATTGCTTGGACTGCAATATATGCAGAGCTATGGTTGTTAATCTTGATAAGCAACAAAACCTTACTGAATTGTTTCAGTCCCGTCAAAGTCAAACTTGTCTCTGTTTATAACGAGTACAGTGTATTTAATGATTTGTTTCGAGACTTCTTGAGTTCTTCAAAACATTTAAAAACATTTTTCTTCACCCCTACATCTAGCTACCTAGATGTTTCTCTCGCAAGTATATGGTTACGTTAGCCACATAAGCAGTGTTATTGTTGGTCTTTTGAGATTCAATTCTTGGTGTTTACTAGTCCCAACTAATTGAAATTCGATTTAATTTAGTAAATAAGGAAAAATTTGTTATCAACCGTATTGTCAAGATTAGCATTCTTCGAAGTGCACATCTTATAGCTATATAGCGTTGTGTATTGTACACCCAACATTTGTTCTATCAGCTGCTAATCGTAATTTTGAGTGTTTACAAGTAAATATTTCAAAAAACATATCGGGCTCCAATGCTTGACTCATTAGTGCATTATTTTTAAATAGATTTTTTTCAGTGGTTAAATTTTAGATGATGCAGCCAGGAATCGCCTATATTGGTACAGGTACATTCACTCTTCATCTTCCCTTAGTTCCTGAATCTTAAAATCATACCTTTTTGTTTATCCTTTTTACTTTCTCTACTACTGTCATTGTTACCACTCCTACTGCTGTGGGATTAGTCTTGAAATCTTTATATTATTGTGCTAATGTAATATGGCAACTTGAACCGACAGATGTCAAGTTTTACATTGCTTATGTGTGCCTAACCAATGCTGTTTACCTCTATTTTCCCACTTAAATCATCAGATGAGTCCTGCAGCTTATGTTCTTTTTGATGAACTATACACCAAGGACAGCATCTTCCGCTCCATAATTGCAAGTAACAAAACTCAAAATATTCGACTTCTGGGCAGGTATGTGTATTAGTTCGTATGCTTAACTATATATCGTGCCTGGATCCATATTTTAAGAGTCTGGGTTCAGGAATGAGATTATTTTGTTGATACGTGAGATGTAAATCATAAATTATTAAAGCAGAATAACCATTTTTCCTAAGTATTTTTGTGGTTATATATGGACTATTATTTGTAAAGATCTTAATCCTGGATTGGTTGTTCATACTAGTCAAAGTTGGACGCAGAAACTTTGCAACTGACTTCATCAAGCAGCCTATATTTCAAAATTACAGTCAATATCTGTGGATGAAGGTGTTAATGGTCTTCATCAATATTAATTTGCTCCTTCATATCAACACCCCCGAATTCCATTTTTAATAAAAGTACATAAAATCACTCCTTTACTTGTAGACAAACAAGGTAGAGTAAGAATACCTACTGCATCCAGTCTTCGTCTTCCTAATATCGCTTATATCTTAAAAATCATAAACAATCGAACTATCCATCTGATTTTAAAAGTTTTTGCATGTGATGATTTGATTTATGAAAAGAAAATGTGTAAAATTGGTTTTCCGAACAAAGGGCTTGATCGTATAAATAAAGATAATCATATATTAGTACTATCTTCTGTCACCGTATAATCAATCGCGGAAATGAAACTGATTTCTGTACGCAGTATCTCGGCAATTTAAAGCGATATTTTCAGCTATCTAAAACGTCTCTAGCCATATAATGGTTATCTCAACAATAGATCCCCCATCTAGTACTTTCAGGAAGAATATATGTTAGTGTAAGTCCTTAATCCTGTTATGCCAGGCTAGTTTTGTCGTTGTGATCTAGTAGATCACAATGACATTGGAGCGTGTTAAAAGACTGTTGAGTTGTTTGATCACCGAAAGTCCAAACAGGAGTTTGTGTTTTTCTAGCTCAGTTAGTATTTGGCAACTGTCTATGAATGGTAAAGTTAGCATTCATTCGTAAGTTCATAATTTGATTTTAGATTTGTAGATACGTCGAACTTTTGAATGAAAGTAAGTCTGTTGTGCAAATTTCATTTCTCATTTTGATATGTTTTGTCTACAAATCCTGAATTTATTTATTTCATATATGGCATGCAGATTTTCTGCCTTCGAAGCTGATAGCAATCTAGTTGAATTGTTGTCTCCATTTCAAGGTGATTCTATTCCTTGCGTTATTGTCGATGTAAAATACCTAAGTGAAAATCAGAAGCAATGTCTTTCAAACCATTCAGCTAATGAACGCTTGATACAATTCATTGGAGAGCTAAGTATATCATTAAAAGATGGAAAGCATTATCATCTTACAGCGTTTTCATTTACATTTATGGATGGTGTGAGTCTAGATTTATATAGAACTGTAACAAAAATAACTCGAAGTTATATTTCATATTTACCGTCTGTGTGACTTATTTTTAAGCTTTTGTATATATATTACAATCATTCTGTTTTTCTTTTGTGGTAATTAAATTATTTGTTGACCGAATAAATAGATTGTGAGTAAACAACTCTGTTAGTTTTCAACGTACTTGTGTTAGTGGTTGGATATGAAAATTCTCATGTCGATCACACAATTTTAAAAATGGGTGTAAACTAATGAGGACTGACTGATTCTAGGAAACATATCTCATTAAAAATTTCTTATGATATTGGCTTCTACTAAACGGAATATTTCTGAGCACATATGAATTTACTCTTTTGCTGAAATCATGAGTCGATCAATATCACATCATTATTAGACACTTGGAAGCACTGGATTTTATGGCCTTTTACATTTAGTCAGAAAACTTGCACAAATCAGTTGAGTAGTTTAGAATTATAAAATTCCTAAGTAAATTAAAATCAACGACAAATGAATATTTGTCTAATAGAAGTCATAATATTATTTGGAGAACTCTTTGCTAGTGGAACCTACACAAATCTTATGTAAGTGCTGTAATCCCAGTTTATTATATATGTAACTGTTATGTCTTGAGAACAGTGGCCAATATTACGTGCCTAGCCAACAATTCTAATTTAGTCTCTTTCGGCTTTTACTATTACCTCAACAACATAGTGCTTTGTAATATTTAGAAGTATATGTATCAAGAATTAAAGATATGCACAAACGAATGTATTGTATTTAGAATTCGAAATCAAGCATTCAACAACAACAAGAAGTTACTAGTTCATTCAAACACCATAGCTTTCACTTTGAAGATTCTTTCTAGTCGCTTAAAGTAATGGTTCTAGGACGTTCAGATGATTTTAATCGCTTGATATAGTAAGATTTTGAAATTCCAGTAAATTTATGTATATATACAAAGGCGTGTACATAGCTTCTATGTGAACAATTAAAAAAAGATTTAACTCCTAATCGCCTACACATTATCCATAAAGTATTCGTTATTGACTGAAAATCCGTTTTATCATTAATGAGAAACGATTAATCATTAACCCGTATGTAGCCGAAGAGGGAGCAACGAAATGCGGTGAATTCAGCGTATCCCTAAAATATCATCTTTTCTACCTTTTTTCATTAGTGAAGGTAACATTGTATGAATGTTGCTGAATTTTGAAATACTAAAATAGTCGAGTTACTTGAATATTAATGTAAAGATTTATAGTCCCACCCAAAAAAGTTAATTATGGTATTGGACAGACTGAGCTATGTTATATTATACATTTAATTTAATGAAGCTATTTTGAGCGGTAAGAAACGTGTTTATCACAAATGCTGATAACTAATTAGTAATAATTTGAAATTGTTAGTGAATAAGTAGAATTATCAGTATTGCTATTCTGTTTAACAAGGGATTTGATGGTTTAAGATTCATAGTATTTGTTAGTAGTTGAGAGTTGAGGAAGGTTTGGTTACAAGTGCAATTAAAATATTGGTACGTACATAGAATCTAGCTGTATTTGAAAATCAACACTTGCATGCAGTTAGTTGGTTCTCAGCAAATTTTATTTCCTCTATGGTAAATCCTAACCGTAGCTGCTACCTTGACGTGGTGGTCGGGCTTGCCTATCGTGATGACACAACGAGCTATATTGGCTGGAACATATGTTCCTGAAGGTTCTTCCTTGCCAGGCAGGTCGATTGGAGAACGATGAGACTAAAAGCAGCTACTCAAGGTCTGAGGGCGAAGTCGCACTGCTGACTGTAAAGGGGTGTCGCAGAAATGTGTTTCTCTTCGGACAACCAGTATTTGCGGCGATGCTGCCTAATCCCAAAGAAGGAACGGCTTAGAAAAGGTCGACCCTAAAATGTCACACCTCACCTTACTTCACGGATTTCCATCTCCGGTGGTAAATTTTTTTAAACAGCAACGGAGCCAACACTTTAAATACTACCATAAAAAGGCCGTGCGTAACCGGCCTCAAGCAGTTTTCCTTTCGGCTCTGAGGTCACGCTCGCAGGTCTCTAAGACCAACACTAATATACCTTGCTTTTCAGGTTCCTCAATGAACACTTCCACGGTGTGGGCAGTCGGGAAGTGACATGTGCCCTCATGCCCGTGACAACACACCAGACCGAATTGATCACAATCGAATTCTTCCTACACCCATTTAACATCTCTCTTATTTTCGCGATTAACTCTTCTCACATTCCTTTATCACACTGCACAGCTAATGCAAACGATTCAAGTTCACGAAACGTTATTCCTGGTCTCCTGAAACCTCGTTCTAAATTACATGTTGGAGCATGTAATGTCCGGACGTTGTGTCAAATAGGCCAACAAGCTCCATTAGCTAGGACTTTACAATCTCGCGCCATAGATGTATATCAAGATTATATTTATCCTTCTTCGCGAGATTACCAAGTCAAATCCCGATAGATCCAGAAATCAGAATGCAAATAATTCCTGGAAGAAGTATATTTGTCCGTGGCTTCGTGATATCGAAATGATATCAACACCGGAATGAACAAGCGCCTAACAACTACCAAGGAGAGAAGCGGAAGGGGAATGACACACTTGGCGCGCGAGAGCTAGTATTTAGTACAGATAAACAAAAGGAGTACAATAGACCAATTATTGTCAGAATTAAGTACAATAATAAATGTTTCCATCTCAGCGATTGTGTTATCTTCGTAAAAGCATACCACTATATTAGCCACCCCCTAGAAAGGGTTTACACTTTCGATACATAGCGGTTTCGAGCGGAGGGGGTCTGGCCGGTTTACGGGCGATTGTAGGGCAGAAAGCTTGACGGACAAGAAGCTACCAGTGAAGCTCGAGTTGTCATCGAAATTCTGTCACTTCGAACTGTAACGATAGTAACATGCCAAGTTCAGTGCTCGGGTTGGCATGCCACACCAGGGTAGCTCGTATCTAGAGTCTGAAGAATCCGTTGGTAGAGGTCCGAATCAGAAAACGCTGCAAACGTAAGACGGAACCAGACTGAGCGAGGGAGCCAAGAACGACCAAGTTCGAAACTATACGTATGCCAGATACGTTCGGAACCTTAACATCGACTGAGTGCGTTGACAAGAGCGTAGGTGGTCAGTTCAGCTTTCGCCAAGATTGGCTGATGTCCACGATACCAACAGGGCCATGGTCGTAGGTATAGGCTCAGTATACAAAATTAAAGAAAACCAAAGGCGTAGCATACATGTAGTACGAGGATAGTGTACGTACAGGTAGGCGTACGCGGCGACCGGAACGCGAGACGGTAGTCTTGTGTGTACCTCGTGAGCCAGCAATCTCATCCGAAGTCAAGAGCGGAGTGGTCTGCTGATCTGTTGTACGTGACACAGGAGTCTCATCCGTAGTGCAGATGACGCGTGCTGTTGACTGGGACGTGAGAATGAGGTCTCTGATAAATCTAGCGTGGGATTAAAAGTAGCCTTAAGGGTCCAGCTAGTAGGTTTAATAGGTGTGGCATTGTGTCTCGGATCAACAAGTAGGGCACTGTCATCGACGTGTACCAGCTTGAGACGATCAGTGGTGACTATCTCGACGCAGCCATGTCGAGCAACCTTGAAGGTCTTTTCGTGACGAGAAATCACGTGTAAAGGTTTGCGTACCGTATGGACTCGTATGAAAACATGTGAACAGGTAGATAACTCGAAGGAGAGCGACCTGCAGATGTTGTACGCGAGTTGACACCGGAGGCAGTGTTCGAAAAAATTCAGACAATCGTTGGACACAGTCTTATTTATTGAAGTTATCACTACTCTGTGGTGTGAAAAATTCCGCAGGCAGACGCAGTGTCATTCCGTATACCAATTCAGCGGCGGAACATTGAATATCTGCCTTTAAACTCGTTCTGATACCTGAGAGAACGAGCGTTAAGGTTCCGTACCAATCGTTGTTTTCGTGTACTCGACGAGCACTTTTAAGTTGGCGATGAAACCGTTCGACTAAACCATTCGAAGCCGGGTGGTAGGTGGTAGTGCGTATGCGCTCCGTATCAAGCAGTCGGGTTAGCGAGTAGAATAATTTGGAGTCGAACTGTTATCCTCGGTCAGTTGTGACAGTCGAGGGACAACCGTACACCGCTATCCATCGTTCTACGAAGCGTTCGGAAACTGTTTCCGCGGTAATAGAAGAGATGGGAATAGCTTCGTGTCATCTTTTGAAACGATCAATGCACGTGAATATGTGATCATACCCATGTGATGATGGCAATGGTCCTACAAAGTCAATCTGAACATGATCGAAGCGAGCATCAGGCGTAGCAAATGTGCCTATGCACTTTTGATCGCTGTCGTTGTGAGCATTGCCTTACCCACATAAGGACATCTTTATTCATGGAAGGCCAGACGTATCGTGCAGCAATGAGATGTAATGTGGCTGAGATACCTGGATAAAACAATCTATGCAGGGCATCGACGACGAGACAACGATAAGCAGAGGGCACAATGGGTCGGGGTAAACCAGTAGAGTTTTCGAACAGCATAGTACCTGAGGTGGTGGCTAGGGGCACCTCCTGGCACTGAAGGGATGTAGATTGTCGTGTTTCTGTACAGGAGCGATCATTTGGTTGGGTAGCGGCCATAATCGAAAGATCAGACACCGATAAAGTAACTGCATTCACTTGAATACGTGACAGAGCCTCAGTTCGACTCGTCTTTAATGTGACGAAGGTCTGTCATAAACTGAGATATATAGTCCAGATATCTGTGCTGTCGTGGTTAGCAGAGGTCAGACTTGGTATGTAGGGCATATGTTAAAGGCTTACGGTCGGCGAAAAGGATAAATTTACGACCTGTTACTGTATGCTGGAATTGTTTGGTGACACGGTAAGCTGCTATCAGTTGTATACTAGGCTTAGCTGATGGGTCAGGATGGTCGAGGAGCGTGACTTCAGCTGAAGATTTTTTTATTAATAAAAATACTGTACGCGCAATATCCTTCAATTCTAATTTGCGTGGATTACCGCGAAGTAGTTCGGTTAATGGTCGTAATTGTTCTGCCGCGTGAGGAATGAAACATCGGTAGAAGTTGACCAAACCGAGAAAAGCCTTCACTTCCTTGAGTGAGGACGGCACAGTGTACTTGGTCATTGTACGCACTTTGTC